ACCCTAGAACTCTGGAGCAAAACCATCAAAGAGGCTTTCAAGTTTGACCACAAGTGTTGTTGTTGATGTTACCTAAAAAGCTTCCTTTTTCCTGCTTTCATGGCGCAGGGGTGGTAGGTCTGCCTCGTGTCACTTATAAACTTCACTTTAAGCTGTCAATATTTATAAATATTTACACGCCACGAATTGGATGAGGCGATGGTATGGGTTCGGATGGGATGGGCAGCCTTGGAGACCTGGTGCCCTGGGTTTTTTGGAGTGGCGCTCGGTGGTTATTCGTTGCTGTCTAGGAAGATTGTAGCTCTGACACGACCCAGACGTGCAGTAAATGGAAGCAGGATGAACAGGTATTTTTGGTTAACATAAATTCATTTGGCTGTGGAAATTGAGAGCTAGGTTATGGGTTAGGGTGTTGATTTTAAAACTCAATGCTTCTAAAAGTTTTCCTTAATGGGAAAACAGAATAAACTCTATTAAAGCTGTTTAAATGAAATACGGCCTTATAAATTGTTAATTTTTTAAAGGAAGATATCAATCCTGCTTTTCCTTTACCCAGTAAAAACTGAGAATAAAAAAGTTCCTCATATCTTTTGTTGTAAATAAAATTGGCCTTACCCTAACTGGTGGTTGAAACAGACTAACCCACATCTGACAATCATTAGGCGTAATAAATTTCAGCTGTCATCCATCTTAAACCCTTTCAAAGAGACTACCTTGTAGACCCCAACTCTTCCGTGCGGATAACAAAGGAAAACGATAAAAGACAAGAGTTGGCTTCCTTTAAGGCTCGATTCGGGACCCATAAATGTGCAACATAATTCTCGAGGCCCTCAATCCGAACGATATTTTTATGCAAATTGTAATCAAGGAGCAGAGGGCACACAATCAGAATCACACATGGACATATGCCGAGCACAATTCGGCTCAATAAAAAGCGAACAAATGCCGCTTGGATAAGTGTAAAATTTACAATTCCAATTCCGCATCCGTTTTTTCAATTTCCCAACAGTTGTGCCGAGAGTCTTTAAAATCGAACAATGGTCTGGAAAATTGTGAGGGCTTAAGCAAGGGTCGGGATAACAATGGGGTTGGGTTAGGGACTTGAGCAACAATCCCGCAGATGTTTAACACATATTTTGCACAACTATTTAAGCCGTTGATTTTGACGCCCAATCAAATGAATTAAACAATTTTCAATACGATTCGATTGGGGGATGCTGTATCTGGCATCTCTCACAAGCGTATCTCTAATGAAGCCATTAAGGGTTGGTACTTTGCAGTTCTCCAGGTCCTTCGTCTTGGCATATGTGTGGTTAACTTTCGGCAAACACAGAGGTCCATAAATGTTGTCGTTCCAGCCGGCAAATGAATAAATTATCAACTAAGCGAGGTAGGAAAAGTCCTTCGGCCTCATCTCTTTCGGGTAGTTGACTTCCCAGTTTGAGTGTGCTCTAATTGCAGCTCCTTGTCGTCGGGCCATTAGAACCCCCCGCACTAATGGCTCTCATTGAGGGGGTGGCTGGGCTGTACTCCGGTAACTTAAAGTCGCCGGAAGCCGCAGCAACATTAGCGCATAAAAAAGGCATTTGTAAGACATGAAAGGTACTCCGTCAAGCGAGTTTGGGGGCGCCAGGTGGAGTACCTCTCTGCCCACCAAGTCCAATGACACAATAAAGGAAGAAGAATGGGTATTACAAATAACATATACCCTCTAAAGAGGAGAAACCTTTAAAAAATCTTTTAACAATATTATAGGTAACCGAAAGTTAAATATAGTTCGGTTGTAACTGAAATACTCAAAGTTTTAAGTTAAAAATTTTTCTAAAAAATGTGTGTATTGTTAAAAAATACTGTTTCTGCACAGAGAAAAAAATTGAGAAGATATGATTATCATTTAATGTAATTCAGTAACAATTCCATCTATATACGAGGCGTATAACTTTGAAAGGTTCGCCATCTTGCTTTTTGGAATCCTTTCTTTTTTCGGAATATGGTTGTCTCGTTTTTTCACCGAGTTATTTTAAGCGCCATCTCGATCTTATCTCTCTTTTTCGATGTAAGATAGGTTTTTTAAGGATCAAATTCGCATTGATGATAAAAATGATACCCATTTATCATGGGAATATTAAATTAATTTTAGGTGTCTTTTTCTGTGTAAGATATTTTTCATTTTAAACGTATTTTTTAAAATTATGGTTAACAGAACATTTTATAAGGAACATACTTGTAACTCAAATATTTGTGGTCAGAATAAACCTTTCCTTGCCTGTTGCTCGCAATTTCAAGTACAGCATACCCTTGGATTGCCTGGCAACGGGGTACAAAAAAGGAAGACAAATCAATGCAGGTGTCACAAATGTCAGACGACAGCTTTTGGATCCCGTCCCTTTTGCCGGGAGGATATTAATGTCGCCAAGTGAATTGATGATGCCGATTGTTGTTGTCCCAGGGCATAAGCCGATTTGCCATCTTATCACAGGCGTGTCTCCATGTCTCCGACTCCGTCAGTAAATCCAACTCCATTGCCCATCTCCCAATCTCCCATCTACGACACCCAACGATTCCGATTTCAATCTCTGGAGCGAGCTTTCATAATGGGCTTCCCCTCCGCCGATTGACAGGCATAATAAATCATGTGTTATAGTATTAATCAAGCCGCCTTCTGGCTTCTGGCTGCTCTTTTGATTCCGATTGCCGAGCCAGCCTTTGTTGTCGGGATAATCGTTTGACATTTATTGCAGCTACCGCCTGGATTTACTGGATTCCTGTTTCAACTTTAAAGCGACTTCTTTGAGTTGTCTTGGCAAAGTGTCCTTTAATTGCGCCTATTTTGTCTGCTGCCTTTTGGCTTTGCACTCGATTTGCCGGGCATTGTTTCTCTAATTGCCATTTGTCGCCAGTGTCCCATACAAGTGGGCAGCCCTTTTCGTCCTACAGTCGCCCAACTTTTCTGTCTGGCCGTCACATTAAGAACTTGTAAAGTTAAATTAAGTGTTTCGTCTAGTAAGCAGGAAAAAAGCAAATGGCAGCAAAAGCGCCAAGAAGCTGCAGAACTTTCGCAAAGGATAATTGCGGAGGTGGAAAGGTAGTTTTCAGTTCGGATAGTTATATGTAATTGAAGTATCATCAGCATCCAGTAACTCTTGGGCATTGAAAAATAAAATATATATTTTAATTTTAACTACTTATATTTTACTGAAATTAATATAAAGTTATATACCATTTAATTTATAATAATCATTAGTTAATAATGATACTTTCGTGGATTATCCTGCCTAACATTGCAAACCCCAAATTACTGCCTGAATTCCGATTCACATAATACCCTAGGGTCATAACTTGTTTTGAAAGTTGAAAACAAACGTAACCAAAAACTGTTTGCATTAATTATAAACACAACTAAAACATTCCCAAATTTTCGAAACCACCCACGCAATTTGCGTGTCCTCATTTCACCTACACCGCATTGCTGGCAATATTATTTAATTCGCAGACAGTTAATTGTAATGCAATTAAGGGATTAGCTGAGAATGCCATTAGGCTTTATTGTACCCACGAACAGGACACAATGAAATGTGAATTCGGCTGGATACATTCAGAGATAGCTGTTCATTTCTCTAAAAGATTCATTGTAATGCCGAAACACTTCAATCCTGGCTGCCTGCGAAATAACTCAAATCAAAACGAGAATGGAATGCATTTTTCAATTATTTAAATGACAGACAACAAATCTTTGGTGTTTACACGATTTGTATAAGAGGCAGCCCCATTCCGATGAGCAATTTAATGTAATTGCTATCGAAGAGGCTGGAGGACCTCAAAAGCCGGATCCGAATTATATGAAAGACCGCCTTGGGCCAGGACAACTTGTGGGACGTCCATACGGTCCATTTAAATAAACCAAATGTTTGTTTTACCCATCTAGTTTCTTTTGCTCCATCTTTTCCCAGTTTTTTTTCGTACTCGCTCAAAATAAATGTCCCTGCATTTTATTTTGCTTTCCATTTGATTTGATTTTTAGCCTAGGTTTATCTGCGAGTGTCCTGTCGGGTGTCCTGGGACTTTCTTTTCCAGCTGATATCAGCAAAAATCGCAAATCAAATAAAGCAAATTGAATAAGAGACAAGTGCCACGCCTTCGCTGGCTACTGAACTTCGCATCCGGTATGGGCGTTGGGGGCGTAGGAGGCGTGGCAACGGCCCTTCGGTACAAAAATTAGTTGCTAGTTCCATTCGGCCAACGTTGTTGTAAATGCGAGGACAGAAATCAAAATGTTCGCATAAAAGAATTATCTGTGCTTAAGTTAGATTATCCCTGGGCCATAGAATCCAATTGGCAATTGAATGAAAAGATGTCGCAGATTCGATTTGCCAACTTTATTTTCCTGCCCATCGGTTAGCTCCCCATCCTGATTTGAAGTTCGAGTGCCACTTGAAAGTTGCCCCAGCCCCAATATATCTCTCCTGTCTTCGGTTGCATTTCCTTTTTATCGAATTTCATTTGATTTTCTTTTTTGGGCTCGGCCAACAACAATGCTCATCCGAATTTTGTGGGTTTTTTGGGGGCTGGCAAGGTTTTAGGGTTAGACAACTGTTATGGCAGCCATAAAGCAGAAAGTGTGGGAGGGGTGGAGCCCATTCAAGTTGTTAAGGATGGAGCCACTCAGTACAGATGTGTGTAGTCTTGGTGCCTGATAAAGCCTAAACATTTTGGAGACCGTAAATCAAGTCATACGTTTTATTCGTAACATTTCTCTGTGAGGTTTGACGTTCATAACCCTTTCTTTGTTGAAGCAAGCTTTAAGTGGGTTAAAAAGCCTATACGATTTTTTCAATTACATTGTATTACATTACTTTTAAAATTTACAAAATATTGTTGAGGATTATCCTTAACATGAGATCCAACTATTTTTATAATAGCACTATTCTAGATGTAAATGTGCATATCTATAAGGTTTTTCTTCTCCCGCAATAAACACATTTCCATGGTTTTAAAGCATCGAAAACAATATATTTATCCATGTCCCCCTAAAAATATAATATATCTTCCATTTAGCACAAACGTCCTGCGCCGACCTTATCGCCCTTGTTGGCCTCCAATTCCTGGAGGACAGCAGAAAGAAGGCTGATTTCGCGCATGGCGAAGGTCATAATGTGATCGATCTCGTAGCTATGATAGCTGGGAACAATGTCTATAAGAAAGAGGTTAATACAGGGTATTACTAAATGGCAGGATTACAAGGACTCACCTCGGCGCTTGCAGAGCATGCGGTAGAGAATCTGGATGCCATCTAACATGCGTTCCTTGTCGAGATTGTAGTGCGATGTGGTGTCCTTGCAGGTGCTCAGGATCTTCTCCCATTTGAGGCAAGTGGCTCGAGAGTTGACATACGAACGATCCAGTCGGGCCAAATCGTTTTTGAGACCCAAGACGGTCAAAGCCGCATCGCTGGTGATCTGAACCATTCGCTGGCGCATCTCTTCGATCTCGTTGAGTTTCAGGCTCTCCAGTTTGTTGATCTCCACCTGGGCAAGCACTACAAAGGAGGTATACTTATAAACCTATTTAAACTCTTGCAGAAGGTATTTAAAACTCACTTAAAGCATCGCAGCGGTCGATGCAGTCCTTAGTCGATGTAAAGATATTAGATACTTTGACCACCTCCTCCAGAACCCTTTCATAGGGCTGATATTGGTCGACAGTGGCCTTGAGGGCGTTGCGAAAGGTGCCCAGCTCGGCGACGGAGATCTTGCACTCGTCTATCTCCTTGGTAAGCTCTTCGTGGAGAACGGTTTCCTCGCGAATCGATTTGTCGGCACTGCGCTTCTTGTCCGCACAATCCTTGATGAACCCGTTAACCTCCACAAAGCGTTTGCGCAGGCGCTCCTGAATTTTATACATCTTACGGATGCGCTGCACATTCATTGCCGTCTGGCGTTTGGCATCTTTCAGAAGTTGCGACTGAACCTGTTTCATGGCATCGTATTCCCGGAGATTGGCTATATACAGCATTTCAATTGTATCGCCAGCAGAATCCCAGTTGGGCGGTTTTCTAAGGGGTATGTACAGATTATTTTTTTTTTCTTTACTTAAATTTTGTTAATATTGTAAGCTTACACGAAGAACTGATCCTGCTGGCGAGAGACGCGGTAATCATCGATGGCCACCTCTGGGTTGAGGTCCAAATCGCCGATCACATCGGTCTTAATGGTTGGCTTACGGCGCGGCATTTTGTCTTTTTAAAATATAATCTTTTTTAACGATATGTAGTATAATATTTAAGAATATTTGTTAGGCAATGTTGTGTCGAAGGGTCTATGATTTATGATATTTAATGAACGTCTAAAAGCTGATAGCAAAGTCAATGCTTTCGTGTGTTAAAGTTCCTCAGTCAAATAGTACATTTCCGTTTTCTATTTCAAATATTAGGTAGTAAAAATAATATTACAAATATTAAACAAATTACTTCAACTTTACATTGCTTATTATTAAAAATAAGTAATAACTTGTAGCACTGGGATAAGGCCTATACATAAATACATTACATTTTTTTCATTAAGTGTATGGAATAAATTGGGTCATACAAATAAAAATATTAATGAAAGTTAAAACGGACCAGTTGCTATAACAGCGAATGGGTTTCTCTCCCTCCCAAAAACCATTACCAAGGTGATCGAAGAACCCCCTGGCAACCAAAGTTATTTTTGTGTCACCCAAATAAAAATCATGTCCCAAGTAGGTCTTGTTAATTTTTATTACAAAACAAAAACACAGTCCGAAAAGTAAACACACAAAACACGCAGCTACACATAGCACAACCCGCAGTACCGCGGAAACCAAACAAAAAAGAAAAAAAACACAACTTACACTTGAAGCCTTTGTTTTCGGTTAAGGGAACCAAGATGCCCCGTGTGAAGCCCACCAAGAAGCTCGATGTCCTGGGAAATCTGGACCTGCGGCCCGAGGATGCCGTAGGCGACTATATATGCTCGAAGCAGCAGAACAAGTTCTTTGTGTGAGTAATAAAATCCATTTCTTGGCCTATAAACTGACACTTAATGATACTAATATTCCGATAAGATGTTATATCTTAAGACCACTTTATTTAAAAATTTAGTTACAACCATTATGTTGGAAACATCTTAAGATCATTATAAGTATCTATATCTTTTTCATGTAGAATTCCGCCCAACTCGGACTCCGCTGGCGATTCCATTGAGTTGATTTACGTGAACAATCTCCGCGAGCACGATGCCATGGTCAAGTTGCAGGAGGAGATGTTGACCAGCGCCAAGCGGCAGTCCAAGTTGAACATTGCCAGGCAGCGGAACATGTACAAGATCCAGGAGCGGCTGAGGAAGCGCTTCATCGAGGTGAACAGCTTCATCAAGGATTGTGCGGACAAGAAGCGAGTGGCGGAGAAGACTGCCCAGAGAGAGACCCTCTACCACAAGGAACTCGGCGAGGGCATTGAGAGCTTCATGACCCAGATCAGCGAGCTCAAGGCCTTTCGGGAGGCTCTCAAGGCCACCGTCCAGGAGTTCCAGCCCTACGAGAAGGTGCTCGACGAGGTGGTCAAGGTATCCGACATATTCGTATCCCCGAAGGACTGCATCGATCGCTGCGATGCCCTTAGTAAGTTTTAAAGAACTTTCTAGATTATTAATATGTGTCGTTATATTACAAATTAAAGATATTTTTTAACTTAAGCATTTAGGATAGAGGCCTATTATATTCCTAACTATTCTTAGGAACTTGGTTTCTTGATAAGTAAGTTTTAAAGGACTTGATTATTTGTATTTATACTTTATTATGATGGTTGTCTTTGCCTTTAAATTATAGATGTTTTTATCTTCAGCGTTTAGAATAGAGGCCTATTCCTTTAATAATATTTCTTATCTTCTAACTCTATTTCTAACTATTCTTAAGTACATGATTATCGAGAAAAACTTTTTTATGTTATCTCTAAAATATGTTAAGACTTAATTAATTTTTCAATTCATTTTCCTGCAGTGCTGGCTCAAGTGGAGATCAACAAACTGGAGCATGAGAAACTGGTCGAGATCGAAAGTATGCGGCAGCGTATGGTGCAGATTACCAATGAAGCGGCTCTTTCGGTGTTGGGCCTCAAAAATGATCTAGCCAGGCTTGAGAGGTCCTACAACGAGTCCCGGATGCAGTGTCTCAGGTGGGAGAAGATCCTGGCCATTACCAAGGATGCCATCAACAATAGTTATATGGAGAAGGAACGCACAATAGATGCAATTACCAACCTTCATCGGATTCTATGTCGTCGACGAGGTGAGATACTAAAGTGCCAGGATAAAAGAATTGCTTATATCTGGTCAGAATTTATTATAACTATATTTTTTGCAGATATACCTTTCTTTGCTGCTCGCGGTGATTTTGGCAAACTCTTAGATTCCATTAAAAACGAAGTAGAGATATTGACTGGAGTTATGAAGGAGATGGAATCATCCGATTCCGCAGTTAAACAAGGTGAAGTGAGAGATCAAACTTTATGCTAAGCTGATGGAAAAATTCAAAGTATTCAAGGAATTAAAGATTGAATAAGTTATAAAGCCAATAAAAATATTTATAAAATAGTACATTCAATATTACAGACTTCTTATGTATTATCACATACTCATTCTTAATTTTCAGCTGCGTCTGCAGTTTGGAGCGGTTATTAATCGTTCTACGCTCTGCATTCGGTTGTTAATGCCACTTTCTAATTGCTTTTACCTCATAAATCTTTCTCCTCAACTTCCTCAATGCTGGTTCCAAAACTGGGACCCCGGGTCCGGGTTTTGTCGCGTCCTGCTCTGCAGTCATCATAAGTCACCAAATTGTCGGACACTCAAGACAAATGTGACACTGGCTTATTTAATTAGAGAGCTGCAGGCGGGATGAGTGGCCAGTACTTAAGCACCAGACTCTGTGCATCAATTGGACATTTAGCGCTGACTGCGCCAACTTCGCTTGACGGCTTTTTAATTACGTCAGCCCGGGAAAATGTTCCTCCTGCCATTTCCACTTCTCTGCATGACAATTAGCCGGTCTAAAATAAAAATAAAAAAAAGTAAACGCCCTGGTCCATTGGCAATTCCTTTCTATTTTTCAGTTGGAAAAAACTTTTTTAATTACCACCGAAAAGAGACGGTGACAAAAAACAATAGTCAACCGTTCTGCCGACGGCTCTGATTTTCAATTATTTATTGACAGGAGTCTCGATTCGTCGTTTAACCTGTCCAACTCTTGACACGACCTCCGCCCTCTGCACAAATGCACAAGAAGCTTTTCGGTTCAACACTTTTGCGGAAAATGCAACTTTAATGTCTGTCAACAGTCGGCTTTTGTTTGAATTGTTTATGGGGAAACTGTATAAAACCATTTTAATAAAACATTTTTTAGAGGCACTTTTGTTTTATTTTAATTATGCACAACCTACAAAAACATTAATTTCACGTATTAATAATTTCGTTTATGAGTAGCGAATATTAACCACAAATTATGGGATTGACAATGCCCTAGGGCCAGAAATAAATTTGAAATTTTCCAGAAGCAGGCAATCTGAGAGATATTTCCTATACGCCAACGCCTTCGGGCTTTGACATCTTTATGCCATGTCGGCTTTTAGTCGTGTTTCGGATTCCAGTTCTCCAAAGACATTTCCGCTCTGGCTGGTCGAGTCTTTTCGATTGGATCCCAGTCCCCGAAAAGGTGTAAGAACTCGACCGAAGCTGATGATGTATGGAAACATTTTAATTAATGCTGACAGCTGAAAATGTCGCGGCCACCTTTTGTTGTGTAAATTTCATCGACTCGAGGCGTTGGACTCTATAATTATGATTGGATTTCGTTGCACGTTCCTCGCTCCTATTTCTTTCTATTTTCAATTTGCCTTACCCGTTTCCCCATTGAGCAGCACGTCAGTGAATTAATCCGCTTAGCCGTCGCATATTCCCCCCGGGGTTTACCGGACTAGACAGCCAACAGACCCAATACCAAACCCAAGCACCAACCCAAACCCAAACCCAATGAATCAGTTCCGTAGAAGGAGGAACCCGCCAGACGCTTGACCAGACGGTTAAGCCTTAATCCCTGATAGTTGTTGGCCCTTAAACTTTTCTAGGGTTTCCAACTTTTTTTTTCCAGGTGTCAAGGTGAATGAATGGGACACCGGGGAGTTGGGGCTCCACTTGCCCGAGGAGCTAATTAATGGGGTTCAATTGTTCCGTAAATGCCTGGCATACGGTTAAAGATAAGCATTAATTGGAGATTATTTAAAGTGATGGGCTGGGAAAATTAATTTTAAACAAATCATTGAAAAAGAGATGTGAATTTATGTTCAGTTTGATAGAAAGCTCATAAATAATAGTAATTTATGCCTGTGTAATATTTAGCTGTATTAATAGTTTGCTGATTATATAATAAATACTGAATAAATATTCAGGAATATAAATTCTCTAATGGAGTAGATCAAAATCAACGATAGAAACAAAGAGGTGATTAATCAATTGTTAAAAATATCATTTAAGGCTTTAAAGGACAGCGAGAAAGCAATGTAGATAAAGATAAAATTTCACCAAGCTAAAATGTAAACCTAAACTTAATAACAGGAAAAGCACAATTGGATAATAAATAGTTTAGATACAACCAAATAAATCGTCTCAAGCAAGGAACCGAAAATATGGTTCTTTTTGGAGTAGAACAAAATTATCGATACCAATAAAGAGGCAATATGTTAAAAAAAATCATTGCATGCAGTTCAAGAAACTCAGAAAGCAATGCTGATAATTGCACTAACTTGTTTAGATACATAACCAGAGCCCGAACAAAATACTAATTTTAATAACAGGGCATTCAAATAATAAATAATTCAGCTCGGAAATGATCAAATCAATGGTTTCCAATGAGAACCCACTCATTGTAAACCGAAATTATTGCCTAAATAAAGACGAGACACATTTAAAAACATCATAGCATGTTTTTTGAAGACTTTCAGAAAGCATTGATGATAATTCCACTAACTTATTTAGATATGTCACCAGAGCCTGAACGTAATCCTAAAACTAATAACAAGACGAGCACAGTAGGATAATAAATAATTCAGCTCAGAAACCATCAAATAAATGCTCTCCAGCGAGGAACCACCTCAATGCCAACCGAAACTATTGACCCTGGCCAAGTCGACGTAACCTTTGCTTTGCCCGTCGGTCAAAACAAGTGAACTGCTCCCGACCAGTCAGTCCCACACAGAGGGGCAGCAACAATTTTTATTGTAATAACAATATATAACACACAAATTTGAATAACAAATTAACCGGCACACACATAGGCACATGGGCACCCATGGGCCATTCGGTGACATTCGGGAAGTCGAGCCTTTGGGTCCAGTCCTCCTGTTTTCCTGCTTTCCTGTTCTCCTTGTGGCGTGAGACTGGAAATAGCCATTCGACTTGGGCTCCTGTGCGAGCCGCATACAACATGGGGCATACAACATGCAATATAATTGAATGCCTGCAGGATGTATAGACACACACACGTGTGTGTGTATGCGCCATACACAATGTATTTCAGCCAGCTAGCATAGCCACAAAATATTTGCTTATGTGGCCCAAACCAGACCAGACCAGCCAGAGCCGAGAGTTAGAGCCCGGCCCAAACAGCTTTCGACCAACAGCCAAATGTGACTTTGCAGCGTCAACTTCAATGTTGCATAAATCAACACACCGACGATGGCGCTGCCAATTTTGTGGCTCTATATCCGCCCCCGCACCACTGAGCCCCTGAACCACCGAACCACTGCACCACCACCACCACCACCACCGTCTACTTGATTGAATATTTCAAGCTATGCATCTTTAATAATGTTCCACGACGGCGATGTCGATGTCGATGACGTCGCCTCGGGCCAGTTTGTGGCACCAGCCATGCAAATGCAAATGTGGCGACTGCAAAGTGCAAAATGCAAAATGCACAGTGGCCGAGGATGTAATTTGGGCGTTTTTTCCTCTTCCTACACTAAACTGACCGATGTCTAAGTCAGCCGCCACGTCCTGGCTCACGGAGCTAGAAACGCCTCCTAATCAAACCCGACTTGACTTTTATTTTCTACGTGCTGACCTGTACCCTTTTTTGGGCATGTACCTATTTTTAAAACAGTCTGACTGTTGGAAATGTCTTACATATGAAAAACAATTATTTAAGACATTTTCTGCATTAAAATATTTTATTTCAGGGTCATAAGATACAAATTATTTTTAAAGTCATTTTTGTTGATTAATGTCAATAATGACCTGCTCTTGTTTGTTAAAATATTACAATATTTTGCAATATATTTAAATTTTAAGGACCAAAAATAAGCTTATATGTTACTATGATTTTAAATGATAAATGTTAAAAAACTTTTTACTATTCTTTAAAAAGAAAAATTAGCCGAATCGAAATGCAAACAAAATTGTATTTAGTCTTTTAAAAAATCAGCCACTTAAATAAGGAGGATGATTTTTTTGGGTCTCATATTATTTAAACTAAGGCTTAAGAGTATATAAATTATGACAGAAGATAAAAACAAAAGCTGTCAATATAAAATTTTACTTGGGTTCATATTTAAAAAAATAGTAATCTATTCTTGAAGTAATATTTTTGGTAATAGATATGTTGGGCAAGCTATAAAATTATCGTTTGCATACATCTCCAAAAACATTATTAAAGATCGTATAATACTAATTATTAAATCTTCTATTTGATTTCAAACAAAATAAATTCGACTTTGTATCACTACTTTTACCTACTTCTCTTGATATTAGACCATGGATAGATATCTTAGAGTATCCGTGAGTTCTACACAGCTGTCAGTGTAGAACTCACGGATACTCTAAGCCGCCCAAGAACAACTTTAAATTTTGAATTGAGCGAGGGTCTCGGTTAAGGTTTCCTTTTCGGTTTCGGTCTGGCAACATCTAATTGAATCCGACCGCATCAAGATGAAGTTCGTCTTTGGCGACAGTTTTGTTTGGGGTTTCCCTTCCCTTTGCCCTTTTGGGTCCATCTACTTTGTGTGTGTTTAGTTGACCGCAGTCAAAAATAGCTTTGAAAAACTTTTGGCTGGCAAAGTCTCGCCTGCGGAACAGCTCAGAGCTCCGAGCACCCAGATCCCATATCCCAGCTCCTCTCGGTCCCTCGGAGAAAGATGATGCGATGCCGGGTGGATTTTCGGTTGCTGGCATCTTTGTCAAAGTCAAAAGTTTGTCATAGTTCAAGTTAATGTTCTGTGACTTTTCGCAGTTTTCTTTTCGCCCAGGCAAATGAACCATGTTTCGGATGATGTATTGATGTATATGGCCAACAGTGGAATAAAGATAAACTTTTAATAAGTTTGTCAATTGCTGGCATAGATTGCATAAAGGACTGGGGTGAAGAACTTTCGTGGCTAATAGAAAATCCTTGAGAAGGAACGACCTGTAGTGGACTTATCTTCTTACCGACATTTCAGTTAATTAAAATGTTGCATAAAAATCAGCTAGTGCGGCGGCTAATGCTATTATTTCAGCTACTACTCGTTGCGTATACGCCATGTTGCAGTCGCCTGAAACGGCAACCAATCGGCT